ACGAGTGGCCAAGAGAACAAACGAGACTGTCTTGGTGGAAATAGAACCACGGTGCTCCTTAGAGGCAAGGATGGTGAAACTTGGCCTCACATGCTTTGAGCATGTTAGGGGTGACCAGTCCTTGGAAAAAGAGTGGAGAGTCAGAGAGTCAGTAAGATGAGTTGCCACAGTGACTGTACCAATGGGCTCGAGCGTGTCAGAGACGGTGAGGACGGTGCAGGACAGGGCAGGGTCAGATCAGGGCTGCTTTGAGTTTAGTTGACTCTTTCGAGAACGGCCAGTTCTCCTCACTTCTGTCCCCTTTTCCCCTGGATTTCTCTGCAGTGCCTCACCAGTGTCTCTGGCCTCACACGCTGAACATTTGTCTACATTTGCCCCTTGTTTTCTTCTTTCTTGCCTCTGTTCTATCCCCTTCATACCTCCTGGGGAGTTGGCATTTCTGGGTTCCCCCAGATGACGGCTGAGAGTACTGTGGTGACTTCATTCATTAGACCAGCCTGGTGTAGCATCCTGGAGAGGGGCCCTGGGTCCTGGCTGTCTCAGGACAAGGTGGGGCTGGGGGTTCTTGGTCTGGAGATGTGTCCGCACGGCTTGGCACCCCACCCACCCAGAGGCAGAGAGGCAGCCCAAGCCAGAGGAATCCCCCATACTGACTGCAGGGAGAGTCCGCTTTGTGTAGTGGAAGCGGGTTTAAAAGCACGTAAAGGAAACCCCACTTCTGTGAATTGGGCGGCAGCCAGGATGGGTACGCCAGCAAGCCAGCTGGGCAGGAAGCTAGGATCACAGGCACTGGGAGCAGACCCAGGCACTGGAAAATTTGATGTTTATCTGGCCTTCTCTGAGGGAAACTGGAAGGGAGGCACCTTGACCCTGACTATTCCGACTCCTGACTGGATCCCTCTGCTCTGACCACACATTTTGTCCCCTGGGGTGTTCAGGCCAGTGCCTCTTAATCCAGGTTAGCCAATAGCATCACCTGGACAGCCTTTCCGTACAGAAATGTCTTCAGTGCCCCTTCCCCAAGGACCTGAGTTAATTTCATCTTGGTGGTGGTGGGGGCTGTGCGGTCATTATGAATTCCCCAGGCACTCCTGTTGTGTGGTCTGGGCTGGGGACAGCAGCCAGGCTCCAGACCATCACTGCCCGCTGGAACTTTCAGAGCAAAGGCAAATGACATCCATGCTGGCTGGTGTAACCGGGGACCTGAATTTTAATGTTACTTTAAATAAATAGGATCTACACTATCACAGTGTGACCACTTGTTTGTCACCTACAAAGATCCTGTTTGAAATAATTACGTGCAGAGAGTGGCTTCCCTGTGGGGCAGGGCAGCTGAGGAGTCGTAGACCAGTGTTAGAATCCTGGCTGCATCACGAAACCTCCTGGAAGCTTTAAAAAGGACCATGGGCCAGGCTTCATGCCCCGACTCAACTCACTGCCATCAAATTGGAACCGACTCATAGCTGACCCTCCACTAGGTTTTCAGAGGCTGTAAATCACACAGGAGGAGATTGTCCGTTTTTCTTCAGTAGAGCGGCTGGTGGATTTGAACCTCTTGCGTTTAGATTGGTAGCACAGCTTCTTACCAGTAGGATAGCACATCAAATAAATGAAATGAGACACTATGGAGTTGGATTGAGGAGACCAGTAGTTCGAAAAGCTGCTGGGGCAATTCCTGTGAAGCCTGTGTTTGGGAGCAACCTTGGAACTCTTGGAAGGAATTGCTGTGGGTTTTTCATGGATAAACTGAGAAATAAATATAAACCATAGACATGCTCCATTGGGAAAATCTGCTGTCAAGGGCCTCTCTGAAGTGTTGAAAGAGCAAGGATGTCAGTTTAACGACTAAGATGTGCCAGACCCAAGCCATGGTATTTTTCCCAGTTGCTTCTATGCATCTGAAAGTTAGACATTAAATAAGGAGGATGAAAGAAGAGTCTATGCCTTTGAACTGTGGTGCTGGTGAAGAGTATTAAATGTCCCATGGGCTTCCTAAAGAACGAACAAGTCTGACCCGGAAGAAGTCCAACCAGGGTGCTCCTTAGAGGCAAGGATGGTGAAGCTTCGTCTCACATACTTTGAACACATGGTCAGGATGGGGCCAGTCCTTGGAAAAAGACGTCCCGCTGGGAAAGGCGAGGGTCAGGGAAGGAAAGAGCCTCAGCAAGGTGGACCGACACAGTGACTGTAACCATGGACTTGAGCTTCTCAGAGATGGTGAGGATGTTGCCGGAGAGGACAAGGTTCAGATCTGTTGTTCAATGGGTCGTTATGAGTCATAGTTGACTCCTCGATGGTCCTTAATACCTAAAACCTAACAACAGCTTGGCAGGCCTCGTTCCTCAGGGGTCCTGGGGCAACTGTCTTCCAGCCTTTCAAGTAGTAGCTGATTCTGTTCACTGCCCACGACTCTATAAAAAAAGGAAACTGTTGTTAATTGTCGTCAAGTCATAGGCGACTTATAGTGACCCTATGAATGAAAGTCCTCGACACTTGCATGCATGACTTTCACCCTTTCTCCAGGTTTATAGGGTTTCCAGAGGCAAGCTGTTATGGAAGTGGATGCCACTCCTCCTTCCAAGCTTATTTCAACCCAGGAGCTCCACCATATACTGTCCACCATTGGTAACCATTATTGCATTTGACACGTCAGTGTCACAGTGTTCAGCTTTACAGAGACCACAGGTTACCTCTGTATGGCAAGTGGACACATCAGGGCTATGTGACCTAGAAGACTGTCTCACCAACAACAATTACAGGCAGGCCTTAGGGCCGCGGATTAGAGTCACCCACCTTTGGCTTGGTAGCATCGCTTTTGGTCCACTAGGCCAACTGGTCTCTCTCTAGGGGGACCAGATTTAACAAATAAGCATCTAAGGTACCCAGTCAGATTTGAGGGAGCCCTGGTGTCTTGCGTGAAGGCAGTGCACTGCTGATCCAAATACCTTTCTGTTGCTTTCGAATCCACCAGCTGTCCCTCAGAAAAAGATGGGCTGTCTCTTCCTGTGTGATTTACAGCCTTGGAAAACCAGTGGAGGCTCAGCCTGGAGTCAGCTCTAACTCCCAGCAATGAGAGAGAGCTTTAGATTTGAGTGGTGCAAATATTGCATGGCACATGC